ATTTCTTTTGTTCCCACTGTTTACAGGTTAAACATAATCTTGGTCTAATTCAACAGAGATCAAAACTACTATAAGTAAAATTCCAACTAAAACATCTTTTAACAGAAGTAAAACAGCAATCAATCACAAACTAATAGAACACACACACACACACACACACACACACACACACACACACACACACACACACACACACACACACACAGTACAATCTGTTTCCCATTAAACCTACCTTATTTTCCAGGTTCTACTTTACCAAAATTCTCAACTCACATCCACAGTCCAAGTACTATTATTAAGCATAACTCCATAAACCTAAATTTGTCAATTTTAGGAACATTTTGTTATCATACATCATACCAGTATAACCTCGAAAATCATATTAACTTGTAATCTTCTCAGCTTGTCATATCCTACCATATTACTGTACTCTGGTCATCACATAATCTAGGTCCATAACATTTAACTTTATTAATAATCATAAAGACATAAGAATAGATATGTGTTACTCCATTCTGGAGCGGACATCCATCAGAAAATCCTTGTTCTCTGTCCCACACCTTGACCAACGTGACAATCAATACTTCTTTTCTGGTCAACAAAAGTGAGGTTGCTACAGAAAAGTGGGAGTGGTGACGCATGCTCTCTGGCAGGTCACAATTGTCTCTTCACCCTGTCATGGACATGCCGGTCCCTATGATCAGGGCCTTCTACTCACCTTCTACTCACATCAGGGGTTGATGTGGTCATCTAGCCATCCAGCTTCGAAGTTGGTTTACCAGCATCAGCAGGTGCTTTTTCTGCAATCAGATGTAAAAACATATGAGAAACAACAGCAGACCAAAGACCAGACTATCAAACACAAAAGCACAATCCTTACAAGTCCTCCAAAAGCATACAACACATGCGTTTTAACTTTCATCCTCTGATGTAACTACAAACTTACTCCAAGCTTATTTCACAAACTCTTCCACTGATTCAGTCACATCTGTGAACATAGCTCCAACTCTAAAACCAAACATCCAGTTATAGCTGGGCTAATAAGTAGAAATTATACAAAAATGTTTGTGAACTTCGTCAAAATTAACTTTTTCAATTACTTTTGTTTCATATATTGTTTTCTTAATTATTATGTATATGGTTTGTAATAGGCATGTACTCTATGCTAAACCATATTGATGAATGTTGTTTTATGGAGAGCACATATTAGTGACACACACAGTAACTCATGCAGTGTGTGGGCAGACAGCACCATCTTCAGTATTGAAGTATTGAGTTAGATGTATGCTCTCTCACTCTGCTAATGTGAGCCTGAGTGGGAAAAGAGAGAGACACATTTTTTAGCATATTAATTGTGCTCTGTGTTTTTGCAGAATAAATCAAACCTTAGACTTCCAGCGTCACTGTCGTCTTACAGACTAAAACACACAACCAGAGTAAAACTGCTACATTAAAAGTGTGCCAAGACCTACTGCATCAACCGAGTCAGCTGCAGCTGACCACTGGAGTTATTCTACGTGTTCATGGTGTTTGAGTGCTGTAAGTGAAGGCTGAAAAATTAATTTCAACGATGTTCCTGTAGCTGCTACGTATGAGACTGAAAAAAGACACTTTTCTGAGGTTTGATATTGACAAACTCTTGGTTTCTGCTGGTAAACCAAGAGCATTAATTTATAGTCCTCAATCACATGATACTTAAACAAACCAACCTGCTGGTCCGACTGCCTCTACTTCTAGTAATGCTGATGATAATGTTGCAAAGCAGTTCCCCTTCAGATGGAGAACTCTAATGTTATGTGGAAAACCTCCACTATGGGTTTTCTGTAGAAACCAATCATCTGAAAGAGTATAAATTCAGGCCAATGAAATGCCAAATGAATTGGCGGCGTCAGCATCCACAGCTGGCATCAATGACAATCAGTCAAGTATATAAGATGCGGCTAGTGCAATTCTCGACATCCTTTTCGCTTTCAGAGCCTTTCACGAGCTTCTGAGAGAGTCTTTGAGGGTTCTCCAACCTGTGTCTACAGAGAGAGATCGAGAAGCAGCTTCTCCCAGTCCAGAGCTCGTATACGCAGCGGCAGACGGTTGAGCTGGGTTTTTCTCCCTTCCCTGGCATTCTTTGGGTCCAGTCTTTCAAGAGCGGTTTGTATATAGGAAAGAATGTTTCCTAAAAGAGCTACATGGTTTTGCAGCGCGTCTTTTTCAAGATGTCGCTTTGACCATGCGTTTCTGGATGCAGTGGTTTCCTATCCCCGGATGATGGGCACGAGCACATCGTTTCATGTCTGGGGTTCCAGCATGTTAATTCGGTGCTCGCGGGCAGTGCATGCCGTCACTGTGATGTCATGTCTGTTGCGCAGTTAAGATCGCGGCTTGCTCTTGCAAAAGAGCGTCCCACCCTAGTTTTCCCCCGCACTGTGGTTGGTACTCAGGCAGATCTGAGGATTATAGTGGGAATAAATCTGCCGCCTTCGGGCTGCAGACCTCTCGCTCATCCACACGCTCCATCCAAGCTTCAGTTGAAGAGAAGAGCTCTGTCTTCGGATGGTTGCCCGCTTGCTCCCTTCCTCCGGGGGTAAAAGCACGGCGTTGGCATCTAAAAAGCAGACATAATGGACGTGCTTTCCCGGGCTGCTTTGGCTGCTGGCCTGGTGATGGTTTATCCCCCAGCCCCGCGACCGGACCGACTAGATCAGTGGTTCTCAAAGTGGGGGTCGGGACCCCCCGAGGGGTCGCGGGGCAATGAAAGGGGGTCACCTGGTGATTTCCAAAAATCTATTTATTTTTATTAAACCATAAGAATTAACATATTTTATCCATAACTATACTGAAAATAAAAAATAGTCGTTTATAGTTACTATATACTATATAGTTACTTTAATAGCTTATAGTTACTAGTTCTATTGGATTGCGACTCCTGGGGTAATTACATTATATTAAAGGCAGCAATAGCGTCAGATGCATTTTGGTTTTATAACATCAGGTTATACTTTCTGGCACATTTAAAACACTGACACAAATTTAATTGGTGTGTCTGCGTCATTGCATGCAAGGTTTCTGTATTTATAACCACCTCAGAGGATATTGGGGGTCACGAGTCACTGGCATTGTTATTTCGGGGGTCGCGGGCTGAAAAGTTTGGGAACCCCTGGACTAGATGGGTGTTATGAGGAGGATTCAAAGCCTTCCATCCTCTTCTTCCTGGAAGTGCATAGTAAGCTCACGCAGTTAGAGAGCACTTTTTTCTGCCCGATCTGCATGTGCTTCCATCCTCACCATCCTTGCAGGGTGGGCTGTCAATGTCTGATGAGGTTTCAAGCCCGCTCTTCCCTCCGGGTTGATGAACGCGGTGAAGAATCTAGAAGCAGACTTTGTGGCTGTGCTTCCCAGGGCTACTTCGGCAGTGGGCTCTGGAGATGGTTTATCCTCCAGCCCCGCGGCCGGATCAATTAGAAGGGTGTAAAAAACCCTTCTTCCTGGATGCGCAGAGTAGGCTTACACAGCGTGCTGCATGTGGCAGCCATGGGAGGCAACGCCATCTTTAGTGCAATGGACTTGACCTCTGGGATTTATAACACTGTTGTATTCGAGAACGACAGAAAGTTCACTGCCTTTACGACTCCCATGGGTCTCTGGTATTATCAGAAGTTTGTTCCTAACTCTTCCAGTGTAGCTAAGCCCCTGTTCAACTTGACAGCAGCGCCTAAAGGGGAAAAAAAACGGAGGCTGGGAGCTGGCCTCAGCGAAAACTCGTCTGTCCCTGGAGTGTCACTGGAATCAGTCTCATGCTCTCCACTCTTCCATGACCGGCGCAGCAGCTGCTCAGGATATGGCCTGGTCCTGGATATGGAAACCTTGGGATCATCACATCGCTGGTCTTGGATCCAATCAGTGACTCCACATAGTCTAAAGACCTCAGGATGAGTATCCCGAGGTGGAAATGGAGAAAAAAAGAGAATAATTAGCGTAGCTGCTGTTCATAGTGTATATAAGCAAGATGTGAAAACTTGTGTGGAACCCACTAAGTGATGCATTGAGTGTATACTTTACTAAACAGATAGGTCTTTAATCTAGTATTGAACTGGGAGAGTGTGTCTGAGCCTCGGACGTTATCAGGAAGTCTATTCCAGATTGTAGGAGCCATGAAAGAGAAGGCTCCTTTACTCAACTTTGCTATTCTAGGTACTACCAGAAGCCCTGAGTTTTGAGATCTTAAAGAGCGAGTTGGATTGTAGCGAGACAGAAGGTTGGTTAGATAAACAGGAGCTAGATTATTTAGAGCTTTATAGGTGAGAAGTAATATTTTAAATTCAATACGAAACTTAACAGGCAGCCAGTGTAAGGAGGATAAAATTAGAGTCATATGATCATATTTTCTAGACCTGGTCAGAACTCTGGCTGCTGCATTTTGTACTAATTGAAGTTTGTTAATAGAGGATGCTGGGCAGCCAGCAAATGAACTTGAACTTGCGTACAAAGGAATATACTTAAAAAGAATTAACGTGTGAATTAGCAAATAACTCAGGAAACAGTTGCTTCCAATCCATCAAGAGTCCAGTTCCACTTAAGTTCCCCTGGCTTGTTAGATCCTGAGAAAACAAATAAACTGGCATACAGAAAAAAAACAATGGCACACATATCATTTCAGTTTTACTCTGAAAAAGGATGACAAATGTGATGCTAAAAGGGCTACACTACAGGTGACCTGATAAATGTGACCTCAAAATGATGATTATTCTGTTGAGAAAACACCTGTCAAATAGACAACAAACATAATACATACTCCAGAGATAACACCACACAGAATATGTTCACTGATAGAAATGAATAGACAGATTTCTGTCTGTGCTGCTAATTATCTTTATGGTAAATTGTCAAATTTTTCTCCAAAAGTGTTGCTTAAACTTGTACCTGTACTGAATGTTACTAAACAGGTTTTTACAGTTTTATGTGAAAGACTCCACCTGCAAGCCTCTTCCTGATCTCACACTAACATAAACAAACCTCTGAACACGGAGAAACTGCGACACACAGGTACAGTGTCACTTTTCCTTACTAATACTCTCTTTGTTTGTTAAATAAAACGTACATGATAAATAAAACTCCTATTAATAAATGTGATAACTGTATGAACTGCAGCAAAATCTGTGAGTTTCACTTTCATCTTGGTCAGAATCACATCAAAAACAATCTTCATTTGTTAGAGATTTTTCATGTACAGATGAAGGTCAAAGCTTATGTTGTTCAGCACAGATTTCCTAAACTGTAATTCTCTATGTATTCTTTACTGTCTGAAGAAGCAGATCTCAGTAATGTTTTTGTGATTGTTTTTATTTGCATTTATTAAAATAACATACAACACAAAGTGGGCATACAGTCATTAGAACACAAACATTGGGATTTATCAATATGGACGTGAGCTATAAGTCTTACATCTGGTCTCAGCTCATGTACACAAGTTTTTTCTGTTAGTATGAAGGTCTGCTTTACCTGTTTGGTTGTCTAAAAGATAATGTAATATTTCATTCTATTGACCCGATGACCAAATCCAATGAATGGTCGAAGGTTAAATGCATGTACACCTGTTCTAGCACTTCTAAAAAGAATTCTATTATTCATTAGAAAGCAATTATATTAGTTTTAGCTCCAAATTTGATCTGATTTTATCATCTAATTTAGACTGTATTTCTAACAAGAAATGAGTCACATTTGTAGTTTATGAATCAGTTTAGAGTTTTGATTTATCTCTGATCCTGTACTTTTCATTTATATGTTCTTTAGGGACCCAATGCTGCACAGAGTGTTGCATGTTTCTCACAGACATGGTCTCGACATTCTGAAGTTAGTCAGAGGATGCAGGGTTAACTATAAGCTAATTAGTCCGGTTGCCTCCTGCTCTTTTGTATTAAAAGCATACTTAATTTGATAATTTCTGTACAACTTGCTAAATCAGTGATTACTAAAAATTGAAAACTCTCCGAGCTGAAGGGCCGACAGCTTTATAGTCTTGTGTAATTAGTTTGGATATCATGTACACAGATCAAGCTACCAATAGACTTCACATCATTCATTTCTTGTCAGCTTAGTCCCTTTAATATATGCCATTCTAGCAGCAACCCATCTTTGGGAAACATCCACACAAACACTCATACACTACGGACAATTTATTCACCTGTACCGCATGTCTTTGGACTGTGGGGGAAACCGGAGTACCTGGAGGAAACCCAAGCGAACGCAGGGAGAACATGCAAACTCCACACAGAAACGCCTACTGAGCCGAGGCTCGAACCAGCAACCTTCTTGCTGTCAGGCGACAGCATTACCGACTGCACCACTGCGTCGCCATTCCACATAATCTCCTAGATATAAAAATATTTCAGGAGAATTCAGAATGCCTCAAAACTTAACACTTTATTTTACAGAAGAACGTTCACCATGCCAATTGCAGAAATAAATGCACAATATCAATTGTTTAAAGATAAATCTAGGAGTATAGATGGAAGTCTAAATTATACATAAGCTGCATCCCAAATTGCATACTTATGCACTATTCTACGCCATTTTGTAGTATAAATAGTGTCAGTAGTGCGTTCACACTGTAGTTATAAAATAATATAAATAAATATAAAATAAATATAAATATAAAATAATAAGTGCACTTTAATTACCCGGATGATGCACTCATTCAGCCGGTTAAATGTAGTGTGTAATGATGGACACTTCACGCACTCAACGACCGCAGGTTTGCTTACATAGCGGAAGGGGCGGAGCTATCGGGCGCATATGTAGGACAACTTTATTTGTTTTGGATGGTGAAAGCAAAATTCTCCCATGGGAGTAATTATAGGGCCTCTCGATGGTGAATGCGGTTACTCACGGCAGTTAATATTTGATAATTCGGTCGTTTATTTCACTGATTTGGCAACCGTCAAAAGTCGTCTGAGAAACAGTTTGAATTTCCGCTAAGTAAAAAAATTTTGTGCTATTTGGGATGACACTAAATTCATGTTCTATACTGTTGAGTGTGTAAGTGCGTAAGTACATAGTGCATGAGTGCATAGTGTATAGTGTGCCATTTGGGACGCAGCTATAGTGTTGAGCTTGAGCGCTCTTCACCACGGGCCGGTCTGAATATAGTCTTGCGACCCCCAGACATTTAGTCCTTCTCTTTACACTGCAACCTTGTCTGGGGGTCGCAAGACTATATTCAGACCGGCCCGTGGTGAAGAGCGCTCAAGCTCAACACTATAGCTGCGTCCCAAATGGCACACTATACAGACATAACAATCCATAAATAACACAAATAAATTATCCATACATAACAATCCATAAATAACACAGCCTCAATTGAGAATCGGCTTGACCATCAGTGTAAATGTTACTAATGCTATTATGGCTCAGAACAATATTTGTGTGTCTAATTTTTTATGTTTTGTGGAAAATCTTTGTAATAAGCAGGATAAAATAAGTCCAGGACAGTTGTTTTCTCATAGTAAAGCTTAAACAACAGTGCTGCTGTGAAGCTGAATTTGTGTGATTGCTTATTGACTCAGTGAATCTGAATCAGTGTGTTTGTTCATTGACTCACATCACAGCAGGTGTGCAGCTCCCAGAGTCTCAGGACTGATGAATCTTTTACAGGACACTTTACAGACAGAAAAGATGACCAACTGAAGATAAAGATGAAATAGAAAACAATTTCATCATGTTCCGGGAAAAAGAAAGAGGTGAATCACACACAGATTAGATTAACGATTCATTAAAACACTCTGAAAGCTTTATTATTCTGGTTATCTTGCATGTGAAGTGTCTCTCTCATCACCCTCAGCTTCACTTCAGTCCTTTATAATTTATACCTAAATTCAGTCCAAGACCCTAATTTGGACAAAGAGATTCGTGTAATACTGAAGGATGTATTATACTTATCACAGTTTGTAATAAGTGAAAATTGTAATATGTAAATTGTATTTTAAAAACATTTTGAAAGTGATAATCTCCACTAGTCAACAACAAACAGTAATCTGATCCCCCAATATTCTCAGCTTCTCACACTTATGCTTTAACCAGTGCTGATTGCTTCTGTGCAGAATTGTAAGGCTTCTGTTTCAAACAGGTACTGCAAGCAGGAGAGAACACAGTAGGACTAGACCACCTTCATGTAAGTCTTTCCATTTGTCAGTAAACAAAAACCTCTAAAATCAAACTAAATAAGTCTGTCAAAACTCTTACTGGACATGCTGTAATTTCATTTCTATCTGTGATGTTAAACATTCCCTGAGCTTAATCAACAGACTACAGCATTAGCAACAATGGCAAGGACATCATTTAATTCTCAGATGAGTCTGAAGGTGTACTTACATTAGGCACGTGTGGCATGGTCTTTAGCCTCCTTGGTAGAGCACCCGACTCCCATGCGGAAAGTCGCTGGTTTGATACCAGGTCGGAGCGTGTTGGGTGACGTAGGACCACCAGGGTTACATTGGTGCTGTGACCCGGATGGGAGTGAGGTTTAGGGGGGTGAGTGTAACGGAGGCCAGCTAGTGTGTGCTGTGCAGGTAAACCTCGTTCCTCTGACCTCAAAAGGTGCTCTAGCGACAGACGCTAGAGGACATGGTCTTTAGCCTCCTTGGTAGAGCACCCGACTCCCATGCGGAAAGTCGCTGGTTTGATACCAGGTCGGAGCGTGTTGGGTGACGTAGGACCACCAGGGTTACATTGGTGCTGTGACCCGGATGGGAGTGAGGTTTAGGGGGGTGAGTGTAACGGAGGCCAGCTAGTGTGTGCTGTGCAGGTAAACCTCGTTCCTCTGACCTCAAAAGGTGCTCTAGCGACAGACGCTAGAGGACATGGTCTTTAGCCTCCTTGGTAGAGCACCCGACTCCCATGCGGAAAGTCGCTGGTTTGATACCAGGTCGGAGCGTGTTGGGTGACGTAGGACCACCAGGGTTACATTGGTGCTGTGACCCGGATGGGAGTGAGGTTTAGGGGGGTGAGTGTAACGGAGGCCAGCTAGTGTGTGCTGTGCAGGTAAACCTCGTTCCTCTGACCTCAAAAGGTGCTCTAGCGACAGACGCTAGAGGACATGGTCTTTAGCCTCCTTGGTAGAGCACCCGACTCCCATGCGGAAAGTCGCTGGTTTGATACCAGGTCGGAGCGTGTTGGGTGACGTAGGACCACCAGGGTTACATTGGTGCTGTGACCCGGATGGGAGTGAGGTTTAGGGGGGTGAGTGTAACGGAGGCCAGCTAGTGTGTGCTGTGCAGGTAAACCTCGTTCCTCTGACCTCAAAAGGTGCTCTAGCGACAGACGCTAGAGGACATGGTCTTTAGCCTCCTTGGTAGAGCACCCGACTCCCATGCGGAAAGTCGCTGGTTTGATACCAGGTCGGAGCGTGTTGGGTGACGTAGGACCACCAGGGTTACATTGGTGCTGTGACCCGGATGGGAGTGAGGTTTAGGGGGGTGAGTGTAACGGAGGCCAGCTAGTGTGTGCTGTGCAGGTAAACCTCGTTCCTCTGACCTCAAAAGGTGCTCTAGCGACAGACGCTAGAGGACATGGTCTTTAGCCTCCTTGGTAGAGCACCCGACTCCCATGCGGAAAGTTGCCGGTTCAATACCAGCTCAGATCGGGTTGGGTAGTGTAGGACTGGTGGGGTTACACATGGTTGCCTTGAATCATGCCGGGGCCTGATTGTTCCCCATCCCCTCTCTCCTGATGTCCTGCACTCACACTTCCTCTTTACCTTCCGAGCCGGAGCACGTTTACCTCAATGATGATTCGACTGTTCAGTTTAACAGAAGAGAAGCGCTCTCTCAGCACAGTAGACATAGTTATATCATTTTGTATTTTTTTAGTTGTTTGGGATGCAGTTACACACAGTAAAATATTTTGCTGAACAGATCCGCCAACTGTGATGCTCATAAATGTTCATAAAGTCCTCATGCTGCAGGTATTAGGAGGTTTGCTGAAGGTGCAGCTGTCGTGCAGCAGGGGGTTTGTGTCTTTCATAAACTATGATAGTTTGCTTTTATTGAAATGTAAGTATGATTAATTAACTGTACCTTAATGGTGACGTCGCGTCTTCAGTTTCAAACTCAAGCACACTTTGCACTCAAGCATACTGTGCCTGAGCCAACTGAACCGTGCCCAGGCACAGCATGGGGCACTCACACTTGTCAAACTAGGGAATGGGAGTCAGACGTGCCCAGGCACGGTTTATATAGCCTGATGTGAGTACACTCTCAGTGTATGATGAATACAAAAGAAACCAAAGGGCAAGTGAAATTATGCATGTTTAAGTTGTAAACGTTAAAGGGCCATGACACCCCCCACTTTCGGTTAAAGTCTACTTCAGAATTTTTTCAAAAGATGCATGATTAATGGGCGTGGAGCTCCGCGAGCATCGGGCAGGAGTGGGCGTAGCCAGCAGGGGAGAACGTGAGCGAACAACTGTTGTTGTCAGTTAGCTCACAAAATGAGACAAACCGTGAGGAGACGCATGAGTTTATAGTTTACAAAGTTGAAATGCAAAGAAATGAACAGTGATTTAATGCCCTGCTACATTTGTTATTTGTAATTTCATATACACATAACCACAATTTATATCATTATAAAGATAAGTGTGTTCATGTAAACACTATAAATGAGGATTCTCCCTCAATCCCCGTATTCAGCAGACTCAGTGCAGCAGGTCTCCTGACCTGCCTAATTTAACCATTAGTCCTGCTGGTAATCTGGAGGATTTAGGCAAACACAGCAGCACAGCGATGTGTCTAAATGTGAACGAACTCCTGATAAAAGACAGCGTCCGCCATTCTCTTATTCTCGTACTGCTCTCCCGACAAAAATGCTAGCAGCACACACACAGCTTTGCTGTATGATCAGCCCTGACAGGATCGCGGGGGAAAACATGCAACAAACCCCGTGGATCATGGAAACAAACGCATATGAGCCTTCATGAACAGCTAAATACTGTGCCGTGGTTTCTGTGTCTCTCAGCTCGGGCTTGACACTGGCAGGTCTCATGAATAATTAAGCAGCCGGCTCTTCTCATAGGATAAGAAAACTCTGCTATGAATAATAATGAGAAACCGACGCGTCATCATTGCACTTGCAGTACTGCGCTACTTCGCCGATTTTGATCCCGCCCCGAAAAATAATTTTAAACCCGGAAGCTGAAATTAGCTGACAAAAGCTCAAAATTATTAATTTTCCCCACAATTAAAGCTGACAGGTGCTAACATTGTCTTAACTGATGCTCAACACACACACATCTGTTAATATTAAAAAAAAAGTTCCCCTGGGTGTCCTGAACCTTTAAAGGCAATGCAAGAACATTTATACAAGAAATGTTCTTTTAAATCCAAAATTTACTTTGGATTTTAACAAAACATTTAAAATCCAATCAAAAGCCACATAATATTGTTAGTGACCCTAGAAAAATAATGTCAACAGTCAATAATTCAAAAGTCAAATAATTTTAACCACCCCATAAGTGCTTTTAAAGAGACTGTAAACATTTATATACAGCAGTGGTCACCAAACTTGTTCCTGGAGGGCTGGTGTCTTACAGATTTTAGCTCTAACCCTAATCAAACACACCTGAACAAGCTAATCAAGCTCTTACTAGGTATACGTGAAACAATCAGGAAGGTGTGTGGAGGCATGTTGGAGCTAAACCCTGCTGGGACACCGGCCCTCCAGGAATGAAATTGGTGACCCCTGATATACAGCACATACTGAAGAAGACAAAAGTTGATCTCATAATAAATAGTCGTCTGTTGATCAGTTCTGTATGAATGCAGTATTATTATAATATCATGCTAACTAAACCATTTGTCTTCATGTAAGTGGGTGATGAACCATTCCTGGGTTCTGCTGAAGACACACAGTGTTTTACAGTGGAGCAACGGGACATACAGACAGGTGAGTGTGATCATATCTGATGTTTCTGGTGCTGTATGAATGGTTCTTAATGTTCTTCTGCAGTTTCAGACTGTGAGAGGCTGAATGTGTTGGTGTGTGGGAGCGACGGCTCACTGAAATCCTCCATCTCAGAGCTGATCCTGCAACACACACACAGAAGATCAGAGAGTGTGAGGACAGACGTGGATCTTCATGGTCGTCTGATCAATGTGCTGGAGCTTCCAGCTCTGTTCAACACTGGGCTCTCAGAGGAGGAAGTGATGCGTCAGACTCTCCGCTGTGTGTCTCGCTGTCATCCTGGAGTTCATGCTTTCCTCCTCATTATTCCTGACGCTCCACTCAATAATGAAGACAGAGCAGAAATGGAGGAGATCCAGAAGATCTTCAGCTCCAGAATCAACAAACACATCATGATCCTCATCATGCAGAATTCAGAGCATCAGACAGCAGAACTCAATGAAGAAACACAGGCTGTCATTCAGAGTTTTGGAGGAAGACATCATTACTTTAATCCTAAAACACAAGAGTCCACATTGATGGAGAACATTGAGAAGATGCTGGAAGAAAACAGAGGAGGCTTTTACTCCACAGAGACATTCCTGGAGGTGCAGATGGAAAAAAATACAGAATATAAGGAGATGAAGAAGAAACTTCATTCGCTGGAGACACACTTTCTGTCACAAGGTACTGAGTTGAAAATACAATTAGGTTTTAAAATGTGGGCATGAATTTTTTAAAACATATCAGACATGCAACACTGCAATATTAAAGAAAGTCGAACAGTCTAATTGTACAAAAACTAGGCCCACTGTCAAGTTTAACTTTTTAAATTCTCTAAATTTTTTTCTGTAAATATATATATGCAAAACTCTTAGGCATCTTCACCAGAAATAGGTTTAAAGTCAGCTATTTCTATATTTTTCTGTAGCACGTCAGTTTGAAATGTCAGTTTACATTTGCCAACATTATTTTTTTCATTAATTGTAATTCTAAGATTATTGTAAGATTAGTTTTTTATTGTAAGAATTGTGAGATTATTGTCTGCCAAAAGCCAGTGCTCCACATAGAGAGCTAATCTGATCATCCAGTCTGTCTGGAACGACAGGAAGAAACTGAACAAACTGAGACCTGAAACTCAATCCAGCAGAAATTTGGCAATATCTCAAAGATGCTTCAAAAACCTGCCTGCAGATCTACAGTACTGTTCAAAGTTTTAGGCACTTGTCTAAAATG